CTCATGTTTGATAAACCAACACACAGAATGCAAGAAATTGATATGCTTAGAACTGCATTCTTATTACAAAGGATTAGATCAGACCAACCACCAAATGAAGAGACATGTAGGATGTGGTTTCAGAAGGTCTGGAATGCAAAATTTACCCATTCTCTCTCCACAGAATCAGACTGCACCACTCTCAGCACATCAATGTGTTAACTAACTTAAGTTTTCCTAAGGCTTAGAGTCCAGAGATTTTTATTAGGGTTTCATTGTATGGATGACTTATTAATTGTTAGTCATGTGTTCTTCCTAGATATAGAGCTAGCTCAAATCCTCAATCCTCTAATAATATCACTGTTTTCTCCAGTGACCAGCTACACACAAATCATATCATCCCATTAGTATAAATTCAGACATGATACAGGGAGATCAGGAATAGCCAAAACCCTCCTATTAGTTGAAAAATTCCAAGTATTTAGATTTTTCCTCCCAGAATCCTGGAACAAAGGTCAATTATTTATTATACAGGCTGAAAATACATTTAATTTGTAAATCAGGAAGCCACAAGAAATATTGGAAAGAATAGTCAGAGAGAAAAGAAGCCAGATGGCTATGTATTGGAAAATAGACTGGGAGTATGGAATCAGAGCCAGGAAATATGGCCTACTGCTGTAAAAGCTGATTAGGAAGAAGTAACATGTTCAAATAGGTACAGAAAAACAGGTCTAAGTAGCTTACCAAAAGTTTTCTCTAGGAGCAAATCTCCATGAGGTTGCTTGACTTATGCTGCCTTCTTTTCAATTCATACCATCACTGGCAGTTCAAACACTAGTAGTCCTAAAAATGATTCTCACATTTTGATTTTTTCAACATTCCAACTTGCTTCACTCTTTCCAACACTTTTCTCATGAAGTAACGTTGTTGCTATTCATCTTGACATAACTATGTAGAACTATATGATTACTTCCTACTTAACAAAGATGAAAACTACGTTTAACAAAATCGGCAATAACGCAATGACTAAAATATCTTGGACAACCTCCCGTAATGAAAAAGAAAAGATTAAGACACACAGGACAGAATTTTACAAACAATCTTTGAAAGTAAGACTGGGCTCACAACAAAATTTCATAAACATAATAGTTAGAAATGAAGGAAATAAAATGGCAGAGATGATTTGGGTTAACAACAAGGTTTAGTTTGAACAGATACAAGGAAGCAGAATAACATCTTGAGCCTGTGCTACTTTATTCCAACTATGGCCTTCACATAAAGACTCATGAAGGATACTATCCTCACTTAAAAGAAATACCACATTGAAGGAAAACAACAACAAATATTGTGTGGCTTCTCTAGATCTAGGGACAGGATAGTGACTTCCTGAGAAGTCATAACAATTACTGCTTGCATATGAACTTACAGTTTGACTTAACATTACCATAGGATCTACAAAACTTCAAGCCAAGAAGCAGTGTAAATGTTGCAAGCTGTAAAGTGGCTGAATTTCCTGCAGAAGAACATAAATCCCATGCTTCAAAAACACACCCCTATCCAATGCCCAGAGGATTCTTGCTGATAAGTCCTGCCAAGCATAAGCAGGACTCATTCTTTGTCATCTGTTACAGTTCAAATTATAAAGCAAAGAAGAAATGGATCTAAACAAAAGTGAACAGGAATGAAAGAAGTACAATTATCTGCAGTGATAAAATTATTTAAATATTAAAAGTGAAAATGTAAAATCAAAAAATAACACAATAAAAAAATAGAAAAGAATTCCAAAGAACTGAAAAATGTTAGAATTTTTAAATCCTAACAGAGATTAGACACAGTCAAAAACCCAGGGTGCAGCATACAGAAAACCATGGGAATCTGAAAGAGAGCTTAGAAACATGAAAACAAGAGAAAAAGATCAAGTGTACATGTGGTAATTCATAAGGATAGGGAAAAAATTATAGGAATAAGCCAGACATGGTAGCTCAAACCTGTAATCCTAGCTTCTCAGGAAGCAGAGATTAGTAAGATCATAGTTCAAGGCCAGACTAGGCAAAAAGTTCAGAGATCTCATCTCACCAAATGGCTGGACATGGTGCTTATGTCTGTCATCCCAGATGTGCAGGGAATCAAAAATAAGAGGATCATAGTCTAGGTCAGCCCAGGCAAAAAGTGGGACTATATCAAAAATTACCTACACAAAAAGGGATGGTAGAATGGCTCAAGTGGCAGAGTGCCTACCTAACAAGCACAAGGCCCTGAGTTCCATCCCCAGTATCACCAAAACAAACAAAAAAATCTCATAGCAATAATGTGACAGAGACTCGGTATTCAATCAAAAAATCATAAGGATAGGAAAAAATTATAGGAATAAGCCAGACATGGTAGCTCAAACCTGTAATCCTAGCTTCTCAGGAAGCAGAGATTAGTAAGATCATAGTTCAAGGCCAGACTAGGCAAAAAGTTCAGAGATCTCATCTCACCAAATGGCTGGACATGGTGCTTATGTCTGTCATCCCAGATGTGCAGGGAATCAAAAATAAGAGGATCATAGTCTAGGTCAGCCCAGGCAAAAAGTGGGACTATATCAAAAATTACCTACACAAAAAGGGATGGTAGAATGGCTCAAGTGGCAGAGTGCCTACCTAACAAGCACAAGGCCCTGAGTTCCATCCCCAGTATCACCAAAACAAAACAAAAATCTCATAGCAATAATGTGCAGAGACTCGGTATTCAATCAAAAAATTGTTAGAATTTTCTAGAAAGAAAAAGTATGACTCAAATATCATAAAGAACAATAAATCCAAAACAAGGGATAAAGGAAACCATATCTAGACACATCATAGTAGCTGAACTCTGAGAAAGAAAACATAAACATTCAAAATGAAGGGGTGAATTACTTTCAAAGGAATATAATTTTATAAGTAATTTAGTAGACTTCTCAAAATAAGTATAGGGCCACAGGCCCTATGGAAGCCATTTTTCCTCCTTGTGGAACATGAGAATGTAGGAGAGAAGAGGTGAGGAGGGAGGGTAGGCATGAGGAAAAGAGAGAGAAAGAGAGAAAGAGAAAGCCACTAGGCCGTGGTGACAATTTTGAGTTTCTGTATGAATGCAATCTTAATAGCAACCTTATATTTACTCTCCTGAGGTAATACATCTTCACCAATAAATCTTTCAAACCAAAATGAAGTATCTGAAGTGGCTTTAAGCACCGTCAAGCAATAAGTTAGCATGTAATTCAAATCACTCTTTTTTGATTTTTGTTGACAGGCTGGAAAGATGTCAATACTTCCCACCAACTTAAGAAGCTAAACTACTAGTATAAATCTCACCTGCATTTATGTTTTCATAATTACAAGTCAGTAAGAGTTAGTAAGAAGTAATGCCTGGATCTAACCAAGACAACTAGGATATTACCCTAAATGTAAGAAAGTTTAGAACAAATAAAAGAGATTACTGAGTGGCTCAAGTGGAAAAATACATTTCTTAGAGCAGATCCTTCCAGATGAGCTGAATCAAGTCTTTGAGCTCTACTATAATTCTAACAGATGTAAATAACTAATTACAATATGAAATACTTCTCACCTATAAACACGCAAGTAAATTCTGTCCAGTGGAGGTTCAATTGACTTCTCCATGGAAATCCCAGTTTTGTCAGTTTGAAAATTCAACATTTTTTTTTATTCCATAGAAATTTGCATTTCTCTGGATTCATTTTTGAGCCAGTTATAACATCTTTCTGGTTTCCTCATCAGTATATTAAGGAAAATCCTTAACAAATGAAGTTTATGATTTCACCTGCTTTTGAAAATTATTCTTTAGCATCAACAAAAAAAGACAGTCTCTCTAATAAAAGAGTAGTATTTCTGAAGTTTCCTTCAAATAAAGCTGTAAAGTTTTGGTTCTAAATCAGCTTAAATCTAATTAGAAAGTTTCAGACTTCATTAAAATATAATTTATTGAGTTAAATATGCATAATGTGATTGAATCTTTAAAATATTCTGATTCACAAAGAAAATTAGTCTAACTGGAATTCCACAAGGGTTCAACAAAAAAGTAACTGCCATACATCTTATTATGCTTTATTTAATCATTTGTAAAACAATGATATTCTTAGCATATTAGTTGGAACAAGATAGAAGGTCTCATTTGTCATTTCAGACACTACCAAAAGAATTTCCAACCCCAAAACAACCTTGCATGTAATGTTATCTGTATTTTTACAGGTAGGGAAAATGGGTTCATAGAAGTTTAGAAGTGAAGACATATACCACTAACAATTAGAAAAACAGAAGTTTTGGGGCTCGGTATGACTTCCCAGCCTCGTTCTATTATTCTATACCATCTCTGTACAATACATTTTTCACCAAGTCTCAAATTTAGACTGCAAATTTAAATAGCCTAAAGTTTATACTCAGTATCATATTATTGGATTTATAGAATTTTATCATATTTATGGAATTTTGTCTGGTAAATGCAGGAAAAATTTAAAAGTTCTGCAAATTACAATAGGTGTTTTAATATACTGTGTTTATTTTGTGAAAAGGGAAACAATGTTGTCATCTCAAAATGATTCACTTTAGGGCAAAAATATCATATGGCTATTTGCACTAGAAAATAAACCACTTCTAAAAATTCAAAATAAAAAGTCAAGTTCATGGGGCCAGGCTTTTGTTAATTATATTTATCTTGCACTTTCAAAAGGTTTCTCCAGCATTTTTAAATATGACTGCTTATTCAATTCCACTCATTAAAGTTCCGTTCACTTCTAATGACATCATTAGTGTATTCTTTTCCAAATAGCTCAGATTACATTATGATAAATGACCACAGCAAAAGAAATTCCAAAGCAGTCTCACAATCTACAACGGTATGAAGTTCCTAAAACAAATCATCATAATGTCTTTAAGTCATGATGCTCACTTTAATGACATTTAAATATATTTCTATCAAAACTCAGCAAAGTAACTGCTCCATTGCCTATGCCCCTTTTGTCCCTTCTCAGGAGTAAAAACACTTACCCCATGTGCCTTAGCAGCTATGACAACTTTGAGGAGGACATCTTCCTCAACAAATGGTCTGACAGCATCGTGAATGATCACAACTTCTGGCTTACAGAGTTTGCAGTCTGGCTGATCTTGTGCCAGTGCATTTAGCCCATTGAAAATTGACCTGTGGCGAGTTACTCCAGCTTCAACAAGTGAGATGTGTTTGTGCTGATACTTCCGAATGATACTTCTCATTGCTTCCATGTTCTCTTCTCGTTACTACTACAACAATGTCCTTTATCCAACACACTCTGAAAAAAAGTATATATACATTTCACATTTCAAATAAATGGATCCTTAAACATCTAAAGCTATTAACAGAAGGTTGAATTACAAAGTATCAGTATATTTACACAAGGAGATTAAAAACTAAAAGCCAAATCAGTTCTATGCATTTTTATTAGATCTAGTAAAAAGACTGATGAGAAAGAATCATTGAGCACTTCATGCAATAGATTGCTTCACATTGTACGTAGACTATTTTATATGTTGTGGTAGTCACTATAATATACCATATATTTTTACTTCAACTAAATTTGAACAATTATATTGTGAGCACTTTTGTAAATCTACCAATATATGCTAAAAAATCAAAATAATAATATGCTAATATTATTATAATATACAATAATATGCTAATAAAATCAGAAACAATTTTGAACAGAGTACCACTAATTGTCTGAGACAATAAACCATAGGAATATGCTTTGAGTTTTATTATTTTCCTAATATTTTCCCCCTTGATGAGATAAAAAACAATTTGAAACAATTCTTAGTTCCAAAAGTTGACTGTCTCTTTTAAGAAATCCATGGAGCTGACAACCAATCACTTAATAGTAAAGCTGAATATCTCATCTAAAACAAACCTTGCCAATATCAAGATAAATTGTGAAGTTTAAGTGGGAAAAATCATAACATCTTACAGCGTACCAGTCTGTAGCCTTTATAGGCAATCAAAAGGATTCTAGAATAATAAGTACTACTACATTTAAGTTGCTCTTTGGCTTGTTTTGTAAGCCATTCCCCACTCCTTCCATTGCAAATTTGACAAGTTTAGAATTTACATTACGCTTATAGCTTAGACTTTGTAGTGTGCATAAAGTCCTTAGTAATTGGCCAGTGACATTTCCTCAGTTCCACCTCAATGTGGACTTTCCTAAGATTCTGGATCCACTACCACAGTGGTGATCCATCATTCTCTTTTGTAATTTCATCTCCTCCATCAAGCTCTTAGCTGTCTCCTTTTTTTTCCTCTTTTCCCAACACAGACCCATTTGTGCCACTTCTGGATCATCTTTCTTGAGTACAAATTCTGAGGCTATCCCCTGCCTACTCTGGAGCAAAACCTGTGAAGACCCACCACACACAAACACGACTTGGTCTCTTCCATGCCTGTCTTATTCTCAGTTGCTCCTTGAACAACTCACATTTCAGCTTTTCATACTTTCTCTCACATTCAGCTCTCTGCCTGGGTTACTTTCTTTACCTATGGGCGTTGCCCTCATCTCTGTCTCTCCCCCATCCCACCCACTCTGTGACAGTCCTACTTGCTCTTCAAGTCAGTTCAGTCACAACCCCCTCCAGTTTTCTGCGACTGTCACTCTGGAAGCAACTTCCCTACTCCCCGCTTTCATCAAACTCATCCCCAGAAGATTATTAAGCATCATACTGCACTATATTAACAGTTTCCTGTCTCCTTCACTAGACTGCCAAATCACATAAAGCAAAGCACACATACTATCATACACAACTTGGCACATATTTATCTGTCAATAAAATTAATAGTAGAAACAGCTGAGGTATATGGAATGTGCTAGCTGCCATGGACTGTGGAGAGCTTATTTACCATGAGGTAAGTGACTATTTTCTCAAAAGGACACAAGGGCAATGACATACCTATAATCGTGGTTAGAAAATGAGGAGATGGTGCCGTAACCCCAATCTAACTTTGGAGCTTACACCTTTAACCTCTGTAAATATACTGACAGTGTCTTAGAGGAAGGGCATAACATCCAAAAGAGAAACATTTGCCCCCCAGCATTTAACTTATGTTACTGGGGTCAAACCATGTGACGCTGCTGCTTTATAGCCGTCAGTTTCTTATAATTTCTAATAACTCAAGCAAAAGCAGATATTCCTTCATCCATGTATTCATTGAGTCATTCAACAAACATCGACTAATCCAGCTAGAACATACCAGGCACTATGCTAGACGCTAGTAATACAATAATCAACAAAACCAGTGGAATTCTTTTACATCTCACACCAGAGGTCAATAAAGATAGGAAAATACTCTACCACTGAGCTATAACCCTTGCCACATTGCCTTCTTTTTAATAGAAGAGCTATAAGGAATGTTCGACTAAATCAGTAGCAGGATTTTTCTGTAAGGCAAGAGAGTAACTTATCCTCTAAGTTATTCAACATTTTTATTTCCCATAACAATTCCTCAAAAAAAAAAATAGTTAAAAGCAATGTTTAAAGAGATCATGTTGTTATGTTTAAAGAAAAGTACACTAAATTAAAAACTAAAATACAAAAGAATTAAGAGGAAGAAAAATGAAGAGCTATTATAGAACAAGTCATTCAAATATCTGTTCAATGATTTAGTGCCTTACCTCCTAATTTTACTAGACTGCTTTCTGTTTAGAAGAGGGCAAATAGATGTAAGTAACTACAAACAGAAGTACCTGTGGTCTTAGACTATTTCCAAACAACTGCATGAAATTCAAAGTATGAAATGTTTTAAACCAGTGTTTCTCAAACTATATATTTCAGGACCCATTAATATGTCATTAAATCAATTTAGTAAGACCAAAATGGTTGGGTAAATGAAACCGAAATAGTATAAAAGCCAGAGTACATAGCACAAAACAGGGGGAAAGTTCCACAAAAAAATTAAGGTTCAGAAAATGCTGCTTTAGACCACTTGAGATAACGGGCTTATTATGTTATTTTGTTCAGCAGCCAAGGATACACTCAGGACTTGCAAGCCTTTGTAAGTACTGTTTGTATTTCAAGGGATTTATTCACATTCTTTTCTAGTTATAGAATTAAATTTTAATATTGCAAAAGGCTTTTAATAAGTAAAATCATGGGACTGTGAAAGACCTTAAGTACCTCACACAGTGCCTACTGAACAAATATTTGCTAAATAAAGGCATCTAGTCTACCTCTTAGCTGAAGGCAAGTCCACACTAAACCCCCAGCAGCCCACAGCCCAAATCTATCAAGTTCTCTTGGTTATTTCCTTCCTAGCACATTCCACAGCAAATATAAGCCTAGTCCCAAGCTCCATAACATCTAGAAACATTTTGAGGAACAAATATATCTCAGAAATTATTTTCTCCTGGAATAACAAATAGTACTTAAAGCATACGCTGCTCAAATGGCTTAATAAGACCAATTGCAAACAGTCATTTTTAACAAATGCTTTTTAAAAACATGAGAAAAACCATGCCCTGTTAACACCTCCAACATATGCTCATCCGGGCTTCAAAAGTTCAGCCTCAAAGGGACAGTGGCAGCTGCTGCTCAGTGTCATTGACAGTCTTCACGGAAACTTGGCGTGTGAATTGCACTGCAGCCATTGTCTGTGGACTCCCATCTCTCCACACCTATCCTGATGTTTTAGCAGTAAAATGATGAATTGGTATGATGAGCTAGTTCTTAAGGCCTTCAAAATGTTGGCTTTCCTCTCTATGTCCCCTAAAAGCTCCAAGTTATCAAGTCTCAGGCCACTTGTCTTGGTCTTGTTTTAAATGAGACTCATGGGGGCCTTTGGGAACTCAACACAAATCTCTAATCATGTGACTCGTATAAAAATACAGTTGCCCTATTCGTTCCCTTCACTCAGACTTACCCTCTTATTAATGAAGTCTTCAGCAAATAAAACTAAGTCAAATTTATCTACTTACCACTCAACTGAAAGCATCCTAAACATCTTTCTCTTAAGGAATCCCTAATCCAGTTAATCACTCAGCCCCATCAATTCTACTTCTTAAATGTGTTTCCTGTCTTCCCTACTCTATTCCTGCAATCTTAAGTCACACAAACAATATTGCTCACTTGGATTAACATTCATGTATTTACTTGTGGAACAAGATGTCTTGTTCAACAAATCTCAAATGTTTTACACAAATATAGTAGAAAAGAACAATCGTTTAAAGAACATAAGCAAACAAAAATTGAAGACAAATAGACCAAAGTGAGAAAAGAAAGTAAACCATAAGTTGAAACATTGAAAACCACACCTTACAAGAGGAAGGAAAGAGTGAATATGATCAAAGTACATTTATGAAAATGTCATAATGAAAATAATTATCTTGCATAATTAATATACACTATTAGAAAAGAAAACAACACCTTGGAGTCAAACAATATCATGGACTCCACATATTTTCCCAGCAATAAGACAAAAAAAGCAATTGAATCTCAATCAAAAGATTGAGTTTATATACACACAATCAGATCTATAAACTGATTTTTTTTTCAAATGTATGTACATATTGCTATATGAAGATTAATTAATTCCAACAAACTAAGGAGACTGAAACTTCATTTGGGATGTCAATATATTAAAATACAATAATGTACACTGCTATCACAAAGACTAGAATGCTTCTTACCAGCGTCATAGCTCTTCTTCTTCCTGTAGAAGATTTACATGGGAGGCCAAATTGTAAAAACATTTTGGATAAGCATGAATCATATCAAAGAATAAGTTATTTTAAGCATGATCTTTCTCCTAAGAGATTCAAGAAATCTCAGATTTGCAAGTCCTATCAGCCTCTGTTCAGACCTGCTGTCAGAGGAATCAATGGAGTCCATGTTTAGTTGTTGTTCAAGACTCCAAAGTATGGTTTTCTTTTTTCAATAGCATGTATTAACTTTACACCCCACAAGTATGAACAAAAATAGCCAAAATTTACCACTCCTATTTGTTTTTATTGCAGTTATATCGAGTCCATTTTTTTAGCTATTCCAGGTTAACCAACTCTCCTAAATTATATTTTCTTTCCACAGATATTAGAATGCTGGCAAGAATTTTTCCTTCTGTGGTCTCCCAGTTCTCCTTTCTCACCTACGCTCTCTCTTTGTATCTTCACTGAAAAAAAAAAAAAAAAAATCCCAGCACTTTGACACTCTGTTACCCAGCCAGCTGCAAGTTTTTCCCAATGGGCTTCAGCCCATGCCCAGGCCTTCAACATTCTCAGGCACTGATAATGCTGTTTATATTGTCTCCCAGAAGAGTAAAAGAAAGTGGCTTTGGACCTGAGCCAAAGTGCCTTAAACTCTCACCAACTCCATCCCTGACTCCCTCATGCAGACATACATAGGTAGAAAACCCTTTGCGCTCACTGTCATGGGGATAAGCAGCAATATCTGTAAGTTCCCCTAATAAAAGTTTTGAACTCATCACCCTGACTGGCATTGAGTGCTTTTTATTCCTTTGGAATCCCAAGTAGCAACCATGTAAGAAACTGGAACTCTGTTTTGTGGGAACTCTTCCTGCTGCAGCTTTTAAGGAGACTCCAGTCAATGGTTGTGAGAGACAAAGTAACTTCCTATTTCATATCCAGAGAGTATATTTAAAATTGTAGTTGATCAACTGAGCTAATTTTATAGGTTTTCAGAGCTTATGCCTTCGCAAACACTACCATTGTCACATGGTTTCTGGGAGTAATATTTCCTGGTAGAAACTCAGGTCACAAAGCAATAGCCCATAAGAGACTAATACTCCAATGGCAGTTACTTAGTCAAATGATGAAAAAAATAAAGTGCTCTAAGTTATAACCTGTTGTAATTTGTATTTCAATTCCCCTAATAGGCTATTAAGATTTCAAGACTGCTGTTATCAACTAAGTAAGAATGGAAAACAAGTGTTCTTTTGCCTTATTTTCCATAAACAAGACCTTTCCAAACATTCTTTTGCTTTAAAAGATTTAACTTTTAGTGTCCATCTACCAATGCCTGCCTCAGAAGGTACAAGAATGCAAATTAATACATTTCTTTCCGTGGGGAGAAATGTTAAATGTGAAAGTGTTAACAATCCTCTCCATGTAATTATCAAGTACACAAAGATCCTGCTGGCCAAGATCTGTTACGGCCTATAGGATTTCCTGTACAAGTGAACTACCTCATCACAATGTCGATGGCACTAGAACATGGTAGGTGTGTGATTGATAGGGTAGTTTCAGGAACCCCTCTCCCCACTACCCAGAAAAAATAGAAGACTGAAAGTTATTAACTGGAACAGTTTCAAAGTTTGTATGAGTTTCAGATGGAACCACTGGCTTGAACAGATTAATCGAGGGTGATTATGTCTCTTTACACTTTCATTTTCCAAATGCCAATATTCAAAAGTAAAATAACCTTACTGGTCCTGTTGGGGGAGGGTGCCTTTCTGGGCGCTAGCCAAAGCCGGCGGTTTTCAGCAAAGCCTACTGCAAAGGCTAAAGGATGCCATCTATATTGAAATTTGAATTGTTCACTTCAATCCAATTTTAACTATTATCACAAGTCCCCCACTGACTTCAAAAAGAATTTTAAACAACTGGCAGAACCATGTGGAGCGATGTGACTCCGCTGTTTCCAACTCCAGTCTCACCCCATGCTCAATCACACTACTAGAGTGCTAAAAAAATTTTAAATAAAATAAATAAAAGGAGCAAAAATGTTGACGCCTTTTCACCTCCCCAGCTACGTGCTACTACTCTCCTGATCCTCCTTACACCAGTCCCTCTTCGTCCATCATGCCCGGACTCAATTTGCTTCAGTCCCTTTTTTGTATTGGTATCAATTTCAGCCTTAAATTCGTTCCCACGGTTGAAAGGTTTGTGTTAAATCTTGCTCCTCTCTCCACGTTCAGCACCTGGTAATTGGTGCACTGTGGCTCTCGGAAGGCGCTCAGCAGCCATGTGTGAGTGAAGGAACAAACGCCTGAGAAAGCAGAGGCGCATCCCAGCACACCTCCACGCACGCATGCGCGCAGCCTCCTACCACGGCCGGTCATTCCGCCCCACTGGGGCCAAGGTTAAACCAAATGCATTCGCTAATCCCGCTGCACAGGCCCGGCTCTCCCCTCCGTTATCTGCTTGGACACCTAAAGGCTCGGAGGGCAGCTCCAGCTGGCGTGCCCATCTCTGGCGTACATGGCGGGACCCAGGCTCGAGCTGGAGAAATCGAGCCCGGGAGTTCGGCCCAGCAGTTACACGAGATTGAGGTCCGGGAAGCGGCTGGGCCGGGAACAGGCCGGGCCCCGGGAGCGCACGAGTCGTCGGCGCCGCATTACCTCTCCAGGGCCTGCAGGGTGTAGCTGATGAGCGGCCGATCCAGGATGGGGCAGAACTGCTTCGGGGTGGGGACGCCCATCCTCTCCCCGGAGCCCCCCGCCGGCAGCACGGCCGCCACCGCGAGCGAAAGTCTCCCCGGCTCTGCCCGGGCCGCGCTTCTCGAGGAGGCCGAGGTCGCCAGGGGCGCTCCGCTCAGGCGACGCCCGGGCTCCGCGGGCCTGGAGCCGCCAGGCGGCCCGGGCTCCATGGCAGCCAAGCTCCCCGCAGCCGAGGAGGAAGTGTTCAGGGCCGATGCCAACCGGGGTGGCCGCAGCTGAGCCAGCAGACCGTCCCCCACGGCGCGGCCTCTGCGCTGTGTGCGGCGCCCGGGGCAGCGCTGGCTTCCTGCTCCTCGATTCTCCCGGGCGGGACCGGCAGCCGCCCTGAGTCTTCGCATACCTAAGGTCGCGCACCTTCAACAGCTGTGCGCACGCAGCAGCGCTTTGGACTCAGGTCCATTCCCGAACAGGTGGAAAAAAATTACATTCAAGTCACAGTATGGGACCAAGAATATGTGTGTGTCTAGATTACCTGTTTACAACGAGTGTAAAGGGAGGTGGGTTGGCAAATGTGAGGAAACATAAGTAATCCAAATTTGGGAACCAAATTTGCCCACTGGAACCACCTAAGGAGCGCGCCCTGAAGCCGGTGTGCTGGGGTTTCATTAATCTAGTGTGCGGTCTGGAGTTTGAAATATTTTAACACACTCAGGTAATTTTAAGAAGCACACATGTCTTTTTGTAACCAAAGAGCAATGACACTAACTGCTAAACAGTGGACACATCTCCTTAACCACCAGAAAACACCAAATTGCCATTTTTCTTTCACAGAGTGGGAAACAATGTTAAGAAACTTGTATATAAGATGCACAGCTAGTGGCAAAGCAGTCTTAAACCCCTTATACAGAAGTACTGCCGGAGTTGAGGAACTCCAGGCCTGAAACATATCTTGCCCTTATTCAGTGCAATGTTGGTAGTGTTTACCTTGAAAATATAATGGAGTATTTGGAGTGCCAAAGCGCTATTGTATTCCATCCCTTGGAATGTGAACTTCATGCGAGCAGGGCCTTGCTTCACTTTTGGGGTTTGGGCTGTGTGTCCAGTTTCTGGAATGTAATGGAAGCTTAATATATATTGAATGAATTGCTGACTGAGTAAATTAATAATAATTAAAGTGGATTATTTCCTAATTACTTGCTAATTCACAAGCTGAGATTTATAAAGAATCTTGAGCACTGAAATCATCCAGTTATACTATTCCATATCATTATTTTATCCATTTTTGTCAGTTTAAAGCATACAGAAATAAAAATTCTTTGCTCTTATCCTCTTTGTCTATGGGCATTATAAGGCACTTTTGCTTTTGTTGCCTTATGACTGATGATTAGCTCCTATGCTTGATGAAGTGTGTCAAACTACTGGCCCTTAGGTGAAAAGCAAGCATCATGTTATACTTATTTTTGCTGTGGTAGTTCCTGCCAGTTTTATCTTGCACTCTCTCTTAAGAGTGGCCATAAGAAGCCAAGAAAGCTACTCTAGGAAAATCCTAGGGTGGGTGTTTGTTAGGTGAGTGTTGTTGTTTGGTCAGGTGCCTCTAGAAGAGGCAATGCAAGAAAATGTATGAAACAATGGACAGATTTTAATTACAGATCCTTGAGAGAAGAGTGCCCAGGGGACCCAGTGGGAAGGCTGGAGAAGGCAGGATGACCCACCTGGCAGGTGAGGACCAGTAGAGACAGGAGATCTATGGAATCACACCTTTACTAAGGTCCACAGGATTTCAGCCTTCCTGAAGTGGTGTGGATTGGTTAGTTTTTAAAAATACCATAAAAAGCGGAAATTTTATAATTAACCATTAGGTTTTATAATGATTAGCAGCTGTGGGATATGCTGGGCCTGTGGGATGAAAACCAAGTGGGTTATATTGCAAACCACCACACAAGAAGGGAAGTTTTAACTAGGCCAAGATGGTAGGGTGAACTGAATTTCAAATATGCTAAAAATGACCAAGGCAGCAACTATATTTAAAAATTGTATAATAGTACTTGACTTCATAGCACAACTATCATACCTGTAACTGGTCTATACTATACTTGCAATAAATATGTGTTGCTATCCTAACTGGATGGGTGAGGGAATAAAAGAGTTTATGAGAACAGAAAGGCAAATCAAATTATTTCCATTAATATTGATCTTTAATCCTCCCATTTTGATCTAAAGTTGGAGTTAAAACTATTCTTCCTATTCTTAATCTTGAGCAAAGAAAAGCATATTAATAAAGATCTTATTTTAAATGGTTGATAAATATATGAAAACAATATTCAAATATATGAAAGCAATAAATAAGTATGATTAACCATCAGAGAAATGCAAAACAAAACTACACTGAGACTCTGTGACTCCATCTCACCCCAGTTAGAATGGTTGTTATAAAAAAAAAAATAAAAAAATAAATAGCCTGGACATGATGGTACACACCTATAATCCCAGCACTCTGGAGGCTGAGACGGGGATAAGCACTTTAAGGCAATATGCTACATAGCAAGACAAAAATTACTAACAACATACGCTCTCAAGGATGTGGAGTAAAGGCAACCTTTATTTCCTATTGGTGAGAATGTAAGCTAGTATAGTCATAGTGAAAAGACAGTATGGAGGTTCCTTAAAAAACTAAGAATTGGACTACCATATGATCCGTCTATACCATCCTGGGGATATACCAGAAGGAAATGAAGTCAATATCCAGTCGAGATATTTGCACACTCATGTTTATTGCAACAATATTCATAATTGCCAAGATATGGAGTCAGTCACACACCCATTAAGAGATGGGGGTCTCCTCTCCTCTCCCCAGCCCTCTATTTCTTCCCTAACAGTAGTTTTCTCTTATACCTTTAAGTAATTTTTAAAAAATGGTAGAGTTGTCTTGAAAGTGCCAAACTCCGAGTTTATTTTTTTATTTTTTTTATTATTCATATGTGCATAAAAGGCTTGGGTCATTTCTCCCCCCTGCCCCCACCCCCTCCCTTACGACCCACTCTGCCCCCTCCCTCTCCCCCCTACCCCCTCAATACCCAGCAGAAACTATTTTGCCCTTATTTCTAATTTTGTTGTAGAGAGAGTATAAGCCATAATAGGAAGGAACAAGGGTTTTTGCTGGTTGAGATAAGGATACCTATACAAGGAGTTGACTCACATTAATTTCCTGTGCGTGTGTGTTACCTTCTAGGTTAATTCTTTTTGATCTAACCTTTTCTCTAGTTCCTGGTCCCCTTTTCCTATTGGCCTCAGTTGCTTTTAAGGTATCTGCTTTAGTTTCTCTGCGTTAAGGGCAACAAATGCTAACTAATTTTTTAGGTGTCTTACCTATCCTCACCCCTCCCTTGTGTGCTCGCTTTTATCATGTGCTCAAAGTCCAATCCCCTTGTTGTGTTTGCCCTTGATCTAATGTCCACATATGAGGGAGAACATACGATTTTTGGTCTTTTGGGCCAGGCTAACCTCACTCAGAATGATGTTCTCCAATTCCATCCATTTACCAGCGAATGATAACATTTCTTCATTCTTCATGGCTGCATAAAATTCCATTGTGTATAGATACCACATTTTCTTAATCCATTCGTCAGTGGTGGGGCATCTTGGCTGTTTCCATAACTTGGCTATTGTGAATAGTGCCGCAATAAACATGGGTGTGCAGGTGCCTCTGGAGTAACCTGTGTCACAGTCTTTTGGGTATATCCCCAAGAGTGGTATTGCTGGATCAAATGGTAGATCAATGTCTAGCTTTTTAAGTAGCCTCCAAATTTTTTTCCAGAGTGGTTGTACTAGTTTACATTCCCACCAACAGTGTAAGAGGGTTCCTTTTTCCCCGCATCCTCGCCAACACCTGTTGTTGGTGGTGTTGCTATGATGGCTATTCTAACAGGGGTGAGGTGGAATCTTAGTGTGGTTTTAATTTGCATTTCCTTTATTGCTAGAGATGGTGAGCATTTTTTCATGTGTTTTTTGGCCATTTGAATTTCTTCTTTTGAGAAAGTTCTGTTTAGTTCACGTGCCCATTTCTTTATTGATTCATTAGTTTTGGGAGAATTTAGTTTTTTAAGTTCCCTATATATTCTGGTTATCAGTCCTTTGTCTGATGTATAGCTGGCAAATATTTTCTCCCACTCTGTGGGTGTTCTCTTCAGTTTAGAGACCATTTCTTTTGATGAACAGAAGCTTTTTAGTTTTATGAAGTCCCATTTATCTATGCTATCTCTTAGTTGCTGTGCTGCTGGAGTTTCATTGAGAAAGTTCTTACCTATACCTACTAACTCCAGTTGATACTCTTTCCTGTATCAACTTTAGAGTTTGTGGTCTGATATTAAGATCCTTGATCCATTTTGAGTTAATCTTGGTAGAAGGTGATATACATGGATCTAGTTTCAGTTTTTTGCAGACAGCTAACCAGTTTTCCCAGCAGTTTTTGTTGAAGAGGCTGCTATTTCTCCATCATATATTTTTAGCTCCTTTGTCAAAGACAAGTTGGTTATAGTTGTGTGGCTTCATATCTCGGTCCTCTATTCTGTTCCACTAGTGTTCATGTCTGTTTTTGTGCCAGTACCATGCTGTTTTTATTGTTACTGCTTTGTAATGTAGTTTGAAGTCAGGTATTGTGATACCTCCTGCACTGTTCTTTTGACTGAGTATTGCCTTGGCTATTCGTGGCTTCCTGTGTTTCCATATAAATTTCACGGTAGATTTTTCAATCTCTTTAATGAATGTCATTGGAATTTTGATGGGAATTGCATTAAACATGTAGATTACTTTAGGGAGTATCAACATTTTTACTATGTTGATTCTACCAATCCATGAGCATGGGAGATCTCTCCACTTTCTATAGTCTTCCTCAATCTCTTTCTTCAGAAGTGTATAGTTTTCCTAGTAGAGGTCGTTCACATCTTTTGTTAGGTTTACACCTAGGTATTTGATTTTTTTGAGGCTATTGTAAATGGAATTGTTTTCATACATTCTTTTTCAGTTTGCTCATTGTTAGTGTATAGAAATGCTAATGATTTTTCTATGTTGATTTTATATCCTGCTACCTTGCTATAGCTATTGATGATGTCTAGAAGCTTCTGAGTAGAGTTTTTTGGGTCTTTAAGGTATAGGATCATGTCGTCTGCAAATAGGGATATTTTGACAGTTTCTTTACCTATTTGTATTCCTTTTATTCCTTCTTCTTGCCTAATTGCTCTGGCTAGGAATTCCAGTACTATGTTGAATAGGAGTGGAGATAGTGGGCATCCTTGTCTGGTTTCTGATTTTAGAGGGAATGGTTTCAGTTTTTCTCTGTTAAGTATAATGCTGGCTGT